CCCCAAACAAACCGAGATGAAGGTAGCGGCAGCGGCCGGGCTCTCCCGCCGCCCTCGCAGCCCGGGCTCGGCTCCCCTCGCAGCTAACGGGCCTTTGTTTTCGGCTTCGTAGGGCTTCAAAAACAAGCCTAAGAAGAAGGGTCACATTCAGCCTGATCTGATCGACGTGGATTTAATCAGAGGTGAGCGGTCCGTGAGAGAGATGCTGGTGCCCGGCGTCCCCGCACAGCCGTTAATGCATCGCTGCTTTGCGCAGGGTGGGGGAAAGGCGAACCTGCTCTCTGGCCGGTATTTTTTCTTGAACTGTTAAGCGGCTGCCCGCAGCCTGAGTCATCCAGCTTTCTGGCAGCGGCACCAGCACCGAGCGCTGTTGAAGCCCCAGATCTTACCGGCAGGGTAGGATGCCTGTGCTTGCTAGCGTTGGTGCAAAAGGAGCACTGAAAACCTGAAAGCAGAGGCAGGAGGAATTCGGGGTGGTTCAGCAAAAGCTGTGCTAAGTGGTTGGTGAGAGCAGACTTGGGTAGGTCAGCAGCCGGTGTGCTCAGATAAGATGAGGGGCTACTTTTAGACGTGCCTGTTCGGGCTGTATAGATTGGACGAGCGCCTGAAGTTGGGCTGCTGTCACCCTTCTGAACTGCAGCCTTCTGGCAGGGTTTGGTCTTGGCTAAAGAGGAAGTCGTAAGTAAGGAAATTCTTGTAATTCACAATTTATGACTTGTTTGTTTTTCCTTTAATTCCAAGGCTCTACATTTGCCAAAGCCAAGCCTGAAATTCCCTGGACATCGCTAACTCGGAAAGGAATTGTGAGAGTTGTATTTTTTCCATTATTCAGCCAGTGGTGGATACAGGTTACTTCCCAGCGTATTTTTATGTGGCTTCTGGTGCTCTATGTTATGCAAGGTAAGGGGCAGTAGCAGTCTGTGCCACGATCCTTTTTCTGCAGGGAACATGACATCATTTTGTAGTCCATAATCTAAAGCAAAAGGATCCTATCTGAAACCTACTTAACATAGATTTCAAGATGTGTGGCACTAGTATTTGCAGAAATTATAAAACAGAGTAAAAGTAAATAGTTAAGACAGAAGAACTGGGCCGTGCTCTTAATTTTTGCATTTGATACAATTTTCTCCTTTTCAGTCATAGCAGTTGTGTTGTATTTCATGATGCCTGTTGTGAATGCAAGTGAAGTCATGGGACCAATGTGCCTTATGTTACTGATGGGAACTGTTCACTGTCAAATAGTGTCCACCCAGATCAACAAACCTTCAGGAAACAACGGACTCAGCAGGCGGAGGAGGTGAGCAGGGTAACGGGTTCGTTTGTTGGCATCAAAGCATATGATGGATTGCTCGTGGTAGAAGTTAATGGGTAAATATCTTCTATTGTTATGTAAATGTATTATTTAACCATAAATGTGAAAATGAGTATTTTCTGTCTTGCTTGTAATCTTCTCATAACCAAGACAAATGCTGCAAATCTACCAGGCTACGATAGGTCTGGTTTAGTTGTCAGTTGGGCCTTTTTCTAATGTAGCTTTTAATACAGTTTCTTTTTGTGGCCAGAGGAGGGCATTCTGTGCAGAAAGGCATCTTCAAGGTTTTGCAAACCAGTCTGGTGTCCTGCTTTGGCACTAACTGCAGGGAATTGCTGATGTGTGTTGAGAACAGGCAAATGATGACAGAGATGACTGTGGTGGATTCATTGCTGGCAATTTGTTTGTGCATGTGGGAGATGTTACGGTTCATCTACTAGATGTTTAACTGTTAGGTGTCTGACTCAGTTTAAGCACTGATGTAATGTGTTTGAACACAGGGATGTTGGATGTGGATAGAGTTTTGCCTCCATTAGATTTCTACAGTAAAGATGGTGTCCAGATTTTGTCTGTTGCATCCTTTACTAGCGATATACTGATGTCCTGTGGGTATACGCATAACTTCTGTTAATCCAAATAAAATTTAGTTTATTTGGAAATAAGCATTCTGTCTGCATGACTTAAGAAAAAGAGCATCTAAAAGACTGTTCAAATCTGATTCAGATCTTTTAAGAAAGACCGAAAAGTAGCTTGCTATGCAAATTTAATTCTCCTTTTTTTAAAAATCAGGAAGTTACGCAAATCTGTGGGTGTCGATGGGAACAGTTGGTCTTCATCTGACAAAAACAGTAAAGAAGAGCAGTCTGAATCTGCATCCATTCTTAACAATTTATTTAGTATGCTTTTCCGAAGGAGGTATGTGATCTTCACTGGGTTTGGTGTATTTGTAATGACACTGTGAACAATTTGATATCTGGAAAATGAAGACAGAATGTATACTGTCACTGACATCCCCAAAGTCTGCCAGCTAGTTTGTTTTGAACTAAAAGCACTCTTGGTATTGTAGGAGGCTGATTACTCATTAATTTTTGGTATGTCCTTATTAGGAGATCATACCATGTCTCACACTATAGCTAAAACTGAGCATTAGATGAGTTGCAGAAAGTGGCGGAGCTTATTTTTATTTATCAGATAAGTGACCTTTCTTGAATGTGTATGCTCAAATTATATTATTGTTTTACCTGATTTCCAGAAGGAGTTGTGCCTTCTGGTTTAAGTTGCTTGAATAGTCATCCCACTTTACCACCTTATTTTTTCTAAAAGTAACTCGAGGAAAAGGAGGATAGATTGTTTGGGGTAATATTTCATTGTCTTCTGCTGTTTTCTCAGGTGAGTTTCTTGATGAGTTTTCAACTGACAGGTCCTTTCTCTTGATGAGGGCTTCCTGTCTTCTGAATTGCTATTTTTTTTTTTTTTTTGCATTGCTCTTTTTTTTTTTGAAAATAATAATAAGAAAAAATTTCCCTCTTGGTTTAGAAGTTTTAAGATACTATTAGAGTTACAAAAGAACCATCCAGTGAGATTGAAGCAAATATAAGTCTCTTCAACAGAATCAGGACACAAAGAGCCGGTCAGCAGAAGACAATTATGTATTCCCTTAGCTATATTGTTTAATGTTGTACCTGTGTGGCAAGTGAGAGACCATGATGTTTTCCTCAAAGAGTTTTTCTCTGACATAAAAGCATTTAATTGTATTTTCTCTCATAGGATTAGAAGAGTAAAGTTGGTAGCTGAGAAAGGGACTGAGACAGAAAATGGTGTGAATGCTGTGAATAATGTCATTAAGCACAGACATGCCAGATCTGAATACAGGCTGTTGCACTTCAAAGAGAAAAATAAACTTTCCGATGGGGAAAAGAGCCATCAGGTACTGGCAGGAAAGATCCATTTGGAGTCGGAAATTTCAGTGTATTCTGTATGTGCCCAAAAGTTTGTTGATACTTAACTGTGTGGTTTGATCTAATACAAGATATTCCCTTCTTCTACTAATCTTTGCTTGCATATGGGAAACCTGAAAACCCTTTCTACTTCTCGACTGAACAGCTGACATGGTGCTAACACTTTACTGTCAGCATCTTTTCATCTGTTACAATAGTCCAGTATGTCAAACACAGACAATCCTGGAAAATGTCTGTTTTACCAAGGTGCTTGTTTAGTTGTAGAGACTTCTGATCACAAGATGTTCAGTTAAGGAAGACTGCTGATAATGATTAAAAATAAATAAATTAGCAATTTTTAAAAGCAGTTCTGTAAAATAATTTGCCTTGCAAACAGTTCCCCACAATATCCTCTCAGGGGAAGGCAGGAAAATAAAGACTGAAACATCCCCTGGGGAGAGAGAAAGACAGACTTAAAGCATCGTGACCTCTGTTAAAATCTCTAAAACATAAAGCTTTGTGGAGTTACTTTTGAGGCTCCTCTGTGTCGGTAAGGTGTTAACTCCCACGTGAAGAACTTAGATTAGGATCTGTGCGGAACACCGTAGTACTGTGCCATCCCAACTCCTCTGTTTCTAGGCCTTTGGAAAGGAGCAGAGCTAGGTGTAGGGGGACACATCTCATGATTTTGGGTCTGCTAGCCACCAGCTTGTAGATACATCTGTTCTGGGCTTAAGGTTGCTGGTAAGACACAGCCAAGAGCTGCTGCTGCCTATTCCTCTTCCTGCCCTTGCCCCAAATCCAACTCCACCCCACCCAAGATTCCCTCTCATTACCTCTGTGGCAAGGCAAGGGCCGGGGTAGGGAGTTAAAATTTGTGATGTCTCTGATGCTAAGTTGGATTCTGTTTCTGCATGTTCTGTGGAGATCATCTTCTGCTGGCTTTTGCAGGTAATTAGAGATGACTGTGTATACCAGTGTAGTAGCAGCACTGGCCTTGAACCTTTGGTTTGATGCAATTCAGGTTGGTCCTTTTTCGGTGCCTTAGTCTTATTTTGACTGCTGTACTTCTAGGATGACTGCGCCAACAGAGGTGGCATTTCTGATGAGCTTTCGAGTGAGGAGGATGCTGAAGCAATGGCACAAAGGATCTTGTTACGCCAGAATGTAGAAGGGGCTTCCAGTGACAATAGCTATGAAGAGAAGAAAAAGAGGCCTCTTGTTTCTTTGAACCAGGCTGTCTCACAGGTACTCATGTTGGATTTATGCCATTTTCCACACAATTTTTTGCTATGGATAATGAGTTGGTTTTCCTTTGGTTTTGGCAGGTCAAGCAAGCCCTTAAAGGTGCCAGAGACTCTGATAGTGTCATGGAATCTGAACTAGAATCCACATTATATAGTCAGGTATGGTCATAAATTCAAGAGACAGAGCTTTACCGAGCCTGGCCAGTGCAGGGACATCCTCCCCATTAGAATAGACTGTTATTAAATGACAGTGCTTCAGCATCTTCAGGTATAAGGTGTGGCCTCCCTCCCTGCTTGTTTGCAGCTTTGTAAGCTTTGTTCACAATTGTGAGGATACTACTTTGCTTGACAAAACCAAACCAACCAAACAAAAAAAATCACTCTATTGGCAGCATAGTATGGTCCAAGCTGCCTCTAATAGCTCGTGTTGAATTGCTACAATTACTCTTGTGGTTTGGGAGGCAGCACTGTAGCTTTTATGCTAATAAATTTTTATTTTAAAATGAAGAAATAAATCTATTCTGTGATATATACTCATTCACTTCATTTTTTTATCTCCCCCCTGCCACTCCCCCCACCTGAAAATAAAATAGAAATAAAATATATGAATATCAAATTATAAATCTAAAAATCTATAAATAAATATAAAATATAAATGAAATCTATGCAAAAGCCAAAAAACTTTTGCATTAGAATGAGTAAGTCAATTTTTATTTTGTAAAGTTGGGAATAGAGGTGGGGAACTAATGCTGCCTGTGTGCCTTCCTGTGTAGAAATGCTGGTTGCAGAAACTATCACTGAGTAATATTGTCTTTAACAGTTTGCATCAAGTGGGTGTGACTGGGGGTTCTCGACTGCCCCAGGAAGCTGATTTAGCCGATTGCTGGGGGGGAGGAGGAGGTGGTTCTGCAAATTGGGTGTGGGGCTGTGCTGTGTAAATTTTGCTCGTCTTCAAAGGACTCGAGGCCCTGCCTTAGTGTGGGGTCCCGGAGCTGTAGTGTGACCCGGAGAGACTCGGAAAGTACTCGCCATGACTCTGAGACAGAAGATATGCTTTGGGACGATCTGCTTCACGGGCCAGAGTGTCGCTCATCCTGCACCAGCGACAGTGAGGAAGTGACTGTAAGAGGTACCAGGCGGGATTTGAAGGAAGATGTTTTCCAGCAGGTTTGTTGATTGTATCCAGTGGCTGAGAATACTATGAAAGATTCCACGCATGCACTTGCACACCCCCCCATGCCCCCTTTTCCCCTCTGTCTGCCCAAATAATGTGAAAGACACATCTGAATGCTGTTGGTATAATGTGAGCAATCTAATGCTGGATGAGCCCGTTCCGTCAACCACGCTAATCACACGGAAGTCTGGAATGATCTAAATAGTATCAATGATCAACTCGCTCCTCCCCCCCGGTATTATCTGGACCACTGCTAATCCCAAACCAAAATATTTCACCCAAAGACAAATCTGGAATCCGCCCCTCAATCTAAATACTTTCTAGGAAAAAGCATTATTTAATAGCGGGACAGAAATAGATCATATGCCTTTTGCATTCTTTTCTCTGTTATAGAATCATTTGTTTTGGCTGCAGAATACAAGTCCAGCATCTGCAAAAGTGAGTGCACTGATCTGGGAAGGGAATGACTGTAAGAAGGTGGACATGTCTGTGCTGGAGATCAGTGGGATTATCATGAGCAGGGTAAGAGGGCTGTAAGGCATTGCAACCTCTCTCCCTCACGCTTTAAAAAACAACCACCAAAAAACCTGCAAATGGCTATATATGCAGATATGAAGCGCAGTATAAAACTGGTCCCTCCTCAACTCCAAATACAGTTGTCCCAAATGTTCTTACTTAAAAATTGCATAAACCAAAATTTAGGAGGTCCTGTTGAAGACTAATCAGTGCCGATTATTGTTGGCTGTGTCTCTGCAGTGTGCTGAAGGTGGTGGTTTTATTATTTATTGACTGATTGTTGTTGGTTTTGGACTGAAATGGGTGGAATTGTTTTAGGCTATGTATGTCCTTTGAACGGAAGGGGAACTGAATGGTTGATTGAATTAATGCTGCCACAGCAGCATGCCTTTTCCTTGATGCAAAAACCCAGATAATCATCCTATTTTTGCTCCTGCTTGCCAGGTTAATGCCTACCAGCAAGGAGTGGGTTATCAAATGCTGGGAAACATCATCACCATTGGATTAGCATTCCTACCATTCCTCTACAGACTCTTCTGCACAGATAACCTGGAGCAGCTGTGCTCAATTTCTCTAATGGAGTTTTTGCACATCTTTTGTGGAGCACCTGCTAGCACTCCTGTCATTGTGTTGTCTGCAATCAACTTCCTTGAAAGACTTTGCTTAACCTGGATGTTTTTCTTCATGATGTGTGTTGCTGAGAGAACATACAAACAGGTAGGTTTAAATGTACTGATGCCTTTCATGAACCCTGGGGCAGGTGTTCTACCAAATCCTTGCTGCCTATCACTGAAGACACTGGCAAGACAAGCATGTCTCAGCAAGCTGAAGTGTCAAAGCTGGTAAGATGTCCAAGAAGTTTAGGTAGAGGAGTCCGGGAAGACTCCTATTCATCAGTCACAAACTTAAACCTGTCAATGCTCTTCCTGCCCCCTGCCCCCAAGGGAAAAATAACCTTTTAACACCTTGAAATGGCACTTGAAGTGCATGCTTCAACACGGAGCTGCTTGTGAAGAAGAAAAAGCCTACTTAGTAGGCCTGTTCCAAGATGGAGCATTAGATAGTTGGCTGCATCACGTTCAGCTCCTTCACGACTGTGGGCAGTAGCTTTGTCAAAGTGGCTGTAAATGTTGCATGGTAGGCAGGCTGGTGTTATTTACTGTTTGAGCGAGAGCTTTGTGGCTAATCTTGCATAGCAACAGCAGTTCCACCTCTGCCATACACGAGATGACTACTGTTATTTACCCGAGAGGTCGTGCACTAAGGCCCCCCCATTAGGCTTCCCCACTGTGCCACAAGGCTAACCTTTTCTGCCAGTTACCACTAAGCAATCCCCAGCAATCTTTTTTGGTTTAGACTAATTTATGTTTGTGTGCATATGTTTTTGTTTTTAATTTGCAGAGGTTTTTGTTTGCCAAACTTTTTAGTCACATTACATCTGCTCGGAAAGCCAGGAAATACGAAATTCCTCACTTTAGACTCAAGAAGGTAGAAAACATTAAGATCTGGTTATCCCTTCGTTCCTATCTAAAGGTGAGTTCTGATCCAAGATGGGTGCATTTGATTATTACCGAGGGTGTAACCCAGTCTCTAGGTACATGTACTTTACCTCATTGCTGCCTGGCACTCTGGACAGCACTGCTTGAACCGTTAAACAATTACAGCTGTTTGTGTGAGCCCTGACTTCACAGCTCTGCATCCAAACCTTAGGCCTGACTCAGTGTCTTTGTTCCTACAGAGGCGAGGCCCCCAGCGATCTGTGGATGTTGTCGTATCATCAGTCTTTTTACTGGCTCTTTCAATTGCTTTTATATGCTGTGCCCAGGTGAGATTTTAACTTTTTTTTTTTTTAAAGAAGCAGGGGGAAAAACCCCTAAGCTACTGGAGGCTTTTCTTTTGCCAACCAACAAAGTGCTTGAACTATAGCTGTTTGTCTCCAAAGTAATATGGAGGGGTTTGCATTTTTTAAAAGCTTTGTAGTGTTTAGTTGGTAATAGGTGTTCATTCTCTATGTTTGCAGAGGAAAGTCTGGGGTTTTTATAATCATTAGGAAAATTGCAGGACACACATAGGCTTTTGTGCACAAAGGACTCTGCCTAAGTACCTCAAGTGTTCACAGGACGTTTTATTTAAGATGGCTGATTGCAGCACCCTCTTTAACCACTGTTGTTGAAAAGCAGGTCAATAACTAAACCTTCTGTTTAGTAAGCAGTGTTAATGCTGGAGCTGTTTTCTTGGTTTCTTTGTTTTTGGCAAGAGATGCATTACAGTGTTTAGGCAAGTTCTTGATACCATGAGGACGCAGCTGCGGTAGCAGTTAAGATCGATGATTATGATCGATGATACTGACTGTCACTGCTGTGATTGCGTTTCTAAGCCACAGGTTTCTGGAGGAAGTAATGACAATCCCGGTTCCGCTGTATTAGACCCGATGAGTACATACTGGGAAAGGCAGCATCAGCTTAGCATGGCTGTGGTGGTCTAAGGCTGCCAGTGGGAGAAGCACACATGAAAGGAAAGACGTTTTATTACCAGTTAATTGGAAAGAGGGAGGAAAGAGAAAGAAGCAGCATCCTTTTTTAAGCAGGAAAAAAAAAAAATCAAATTTCAAGCTAAAGCCAGGTTAGAAACAAGACCTTTTACTTTAACCTAGTTACATGACTGAACTACAGTTCAAGGGAAAAATTGTCAGTAGCTATAGAGCATGGATGTCTGTTCAGAAGAGGAGTAAGGGCAAGTAAGAACTTGTTACTGACATTGGCATTTTTTTTGTTCAATACAGGTTCTTAAGGGTCACAAAACATTTCTGAATGCAGCTTACAACTGGGAGTTCCTAATCTGGGAGGCAGCACTTCTTCTCTTTTTACTACGTCTGGCATCTTTGGGCTCCGAAACCAACAAGAAATACAGTAATATTTCAATCTTGCTCACTGAGCAGGTATCTCCATTTAGCTTATTCTCCCCCCTTTGGCTTTGTGGCGTGTTTGGATACAATTATTGCATTTCAACCAGCTTAGAAAATACTGGAATCAAATTTTAAAATTTAGAAATCAACACTTGTGCTGGACAGAAGGTAATAAAACACTGTACAGCTGGGGAGGGACAAGCTGTTAAACATTTGGACAGACTCAAATTCTACATTATTTTTATCTTTCGGTTAACACGTGTTAGCCACGTCAATCAGAAAAAGAACGATGATATCACTGCTAATTCCTGTCTGTGGATGCATCGCTTCTTTAGGAGTGACAATAGACTGCAGAAAATGGCTCTAATTTCCCTCAGTTAGAAATTAGTTGGGGCTAGTGCTGGAATATTAACATCTGGTCTGCAATGTCTCTCTGTCACAGATAAACTTATACCTAAAGATGGAGAAGAAGCCAAACAAGAAAGAACAGCTGTCTCTAGTAAACAATGTTTTGAAACTATCTACAAAGCTACTGAAGGTAAGCTACTCTCCCTAAAAACATGTTGCTAAATTTTATGGAAGCAATGACTAATGACAATGACAGTGTGTTTTTGCTCTTCCCATTTCTCTTGTCGTAATTAGGTAAGTTAGTTCTCACAAAGGGAGTTTCTCTGTGCTTCTATAGCCATGGCATAAGATTAAGTAATGCAAGACCTATGTGGTTAATTAGTGCTGCAAACCTTTGATTAGTAGTGGCTCACTATGATTTAGTGAGTATGAACACAGCATGTCTCCTTACTACTTGAATTTAATTTTCCTTCAGCAGCTTTGCTGCTGAAGCTTGTTGACGGTAGCAGAGTAGATATTTGGAAGAGAAAGAGCATAGTCTAGAAGAGCCACATAAGTTAGTCTAGACAAATTCTACAGCCTGTTGTGTTAAGCTCTAGTTGTGTTGCTACAAAGGAGACTTTTCAGATTCAGCATGGCTGTTTGTTAGAAAACATCTTGAGCTGGGAGGCCTGAAATATAGAGTGGGAATTTCTGTACAAACGTTTAAGTAAGGATACAGAGGCAGAGCATGATTAGCAAAGTCTGCCAGAGCGCCAGTATTAAGCTGAAAGTCAGAAGATTAATTCCTTCTGGTATGGACTAACACTAATGCGTTGGGTTTTTTTTTCCTTTCACTGCAGGAATTAGATACTCCATTTAGGCTGTATGGACTGACCATGAATCCATTAATCTACAATATAACACGTGTTGTAATACTCTCTGCTGTCTCAGGTGTTATAAGTGATCTTCTAGGATTCAATATCAGAGTAAGTATAACAACTCCCATACAAACTAACAGGAAACATCTTGTAGGGGTCACGTTAGTACCATTGCCAAATTCCTCCCACCCAAGCAGAAAGCTCGCGAGTTTGAATTAGGCTCCCTCTACATGGTAATTCAGAGAACAGACCATGCTGAATGAACCTCCAGCTCCCTGAGCCAGTCTGGCAGGCGGGAGGACAGGGCTGACAAATTTCAGCCCTGTTCAGGTCTTCAGTGCCCGCTTAAAGCCATTAGTCAGAATCCTGGGTTCTTTCCCTTTAGAATGAAGACACAGTCCTCCTGTGGCTCACGCTTCTAAATCAGAGCTTGCTGAGCAGAGCGTTCAACGCAGGATGGGCAAAGGAGACTGAGCTCTACCTGTAGATGAAAAGCATTCAGACCTATGGCTTTCAGACCAATACTCACTCTCCGTATCTCTTTTCAGTTATGGAAAATTAAACCGTGAACTGACCAAACATCAGCACTCAGCCCTCTCCACCAGAAAGAGACCAGAGAAGATAACCAATAGCTTGGGCAAAAAGCAGAGGTGCTCTCAAACTACAGAAATCTGTAATTGTGATTTTTTTAACAGGTTCTCAGCGTACATATCGAAAGTTCTCCCTCTGCTTTACTGTTCTATAACATACAGAATAAGCTGGTCTAATTAGCAAAGTCATCCCATGGCATGGACACACAGCAAAAGAGAATTAATGGGGCCAAATACTAGTAGCTGGCATTGAAAATAGCAGGAACTGTGTGCACACAGCGTGGGGCATCGAACACTAAAAGCCACACGAGAGCTCCTACTGGAGGGACACCGATGATTGCTACAGGTGCCTTGTTTCTGTAAAATCTGAATCCTGTGCGTGTGACAAGTGAAGAGTCGGGCCTCCTGTTAGCGTCATCCTTTTCAGAGAGCTCTGGAGCTACACTGAAATTTTTCAATTTGTGCATCCTTCTTCAGAGCTCTGCTCGGACTGATAATACTTAGGTGCATTTATCTGAATGTGCTGAGAAGTATTTCTTTTCTTACAAGCTCAGCGTGCTTGAGGCTTTGCCTCTTTACCCTGAACTACTGCAGGACGCAGTGAAATTTGGTCTGCACAAGATGAATTCTGCCTCCACGTTGACAGTTAAGCAATATAACAGATTCATGCTGGTTGGCTTACGTTGGGTCTTCTGCAAATAAATGATCATTTTTTGAAAACATTAGTTACATGAGAACAACCTTAAAACACAAACTACAAGTAAAGCGTTGTCAACTATAGAATATTTCGCTGTTTGTTCCCCGTAACACCTCAGTCATGCTTAGCCCGGGCTCTGTACCGCGGGCATCCTGGCGTGTCTTCTTCTGACAGCCAGCTTTGCTCCGCGTTCTGAGAAGCTGTTGCAGCTCCGCACTGCAATAGTGCCTTACACTGGAATAGCCGAGGAAGAAATCCGTTGTGCGGATCAGTTCAGTGGAAGAGATGCGGCAAAGACTTCCTCGCCCAAAAGCAGAATAATGTTTAGAAAGGGCATAGGAGAGAAACAAAATGTTTTAAAGACATCTGTTAAACGTAGATGTTCCTTAACTGACTCTACTATCTTCTATTATATTAGTAATGAAAAAAGCAAAAACTGAGGAACTTTTCATAGCTTCATTCTTTCACATAAGGGGTAAGATGGCATAAGAATTTTTGGTAGTAAATTGTTTACAGCTATTTTCTGTACAAGGAAAAGTTGTAAGATGTAAAAGGAGATGACAATTTTATATATCAAAATGTGCAAATAAACCTACAGTACAAGTATTTCATCATTAACAACTGTTTCTACATGACTTGATGATTTCTGTAACACCTTTGTTGAACATTTGTTATTTGAACAGGGAATCAAAGAAACTTCCAATAATAAATTGCATTTGTTTTCCAGAAGAGTACTATGTTTGTGGGTAAAACCTGGGTCATAGATTCAGCTGTTTAAAGTATCGCACCACTGAAAGTCAACGAAGAATCTATTTTATACAGTGCAGAACCAACAGGCCATGAACTGGAGTTTCTTTTTAATATCTATATAAAAAATAATGAGCGATTTACAGGTCTGTCTCTAGTCAGAACCTCAGAAGTATGTATAAAGGTGCTGTACAATATATAAACATTTACACCCAGTACATCCATACGTTGCTTAGCATTCCAAGGCCACATTGCTAAGTCATCTGATACAGTAAGTACAGATACAAGTTCTATGGAAGGAGAAATCACACACAGGTAAGACACGAAATCAGGTCACATTAACATATAGAAAAAATACAGGGGTATGATGACAGGGAAATAATTTCAGTGGTGCTAATTCATCTTTGTATTAAACATCTGAATTTGTTACTGTACTCAGCGGTTAGGGCAAGTGCATACAACTCAACATAAAACAGAATCTCTTGTTAAGAATACATGGTTAATATCTACATAGGCTACTTCAAAGTATTAAATATTTTCACAGTCATACTCCACAACATGGAGTATTTGTATGTATTATGCTACACAGCAAATCTCAGTGGATCATCCAATGTCAAGCAGCAGAGCACAGTTCAGATCTGCTTTAAAGTCTATTTAATTTTCAAAGTCTTTGTTTAAAAAGCTGTTTGAGTAGTCATCTGTACTTCTAAAGAATTCAACTCAGAACTGATTCACTGTACTTCATTAAGCTTTAAAAACATTAAATGTTTCAAAGCCAAAACGAAATATTGACTCATTCACCTTCAAATAGCAAATCGTCTTATTTTGAATTTTAATATGAGTAAGTAAAGCTTGACCTTGTACACTTCTTTCTCCTGCAAACGACCCATGGGCTCCTTCTACCACTTTTTTGCAGTCATTAAAAGCCTAACATGTCAGGAAATCATGACTAGAACTATGAAGAAAATAAAACCCTTCAATTTATGCAGTCTGCTGTTCTTACAGCTGTAGGACTGATGTGTCAGTAGATTCTGGTGGTAACGTTCCTCTTTTTAAAATATGTATTATAGCCCAAACAATAGATATTAAGTCTCATGTACCCTGTATATCATCCTATTTAGCACTCTTAGAACAGATCACACATTCAAAGTAACGTATGGGAGACTTCTAATATACGCAGGCAAGAACTTCATTTAAGAAGCTACTATGGCAGTTGGTTCTGTCCTAAAGGTCAGCTGTTATCTCTGCAGAGGGAAAAAATCCGATTCCTGAACTAGCATTAAATAATTAAAGATGGGAGTTCAGTACACAGCACCACAATGAGGCGGAAAACAAATGTGCACTCATTGCTTATGTTTACAAAGAACGCTAAGGATGACACAGTGCCACAAGTGAAACCAAAGGAATTATGTTATTTAACAGAACCCAGAATTTTCTCTTTTCAGACAGATGTTTGCAAACACTTGTTATAAGCCTCCTTATGAATCAAGAAAATAAAGCAATTTTGCTGTGTTCATAAAAAGCAAAATTACAAAACATTGATTATGTCAAATATAATTTTTATCTACAGGATTTTGTATTAGGTATAAAAATTTAAGAAAAAACATCAATTGAAGAGCATCAGTGGCTCATTTGCTGCCCTAGAATTGATAGAACCAACTCACCCGACTTCTTACTGAACCAGTAAGAACATGTGTATTTCCTTATGTAAACATGCAACATGCTCTTGAGAAAAATACCCATTTCAGACAAAACCTTGCCTTTCCTGTGACTGGAATACATACGAGAAGGATTAGATTGACTGGATACAGTAGATAACTTGGCACAAGAACAAGAAGTGAGTCATGATCACATTGGCAATATAGGCATTAAATAATTTTGTTCAGAAACTCACAATACTATCTGAGAAAGCCGTAGCAGTGCAACGTCGAGAGCAGCAGAACACCGCCTTCAAAAGGACAAGGGGACAGCAGCTTATGGAAGAGTTTCATTTAAGCAATCCAAAAGGTCCTTCATGCAGCTTAGATAATTTAAGAACGAATCAAATACTTTCTACCCTCTAACCAGTTTCTGAAAAAAAAAGGACAACTTCGTGAAAAGAAACAATGCTTTTAAATGACCATTATTAGAAACTTGATTAGAACATGTTCTAAAAAAAAAAGTGTCAGTCAAACCCGTTTTTCAGCCACACCTGCTGTTTGGGTGACTTTACATGCGCTTGGTACCCTCCAAGGTCCAGGAGTTATCGGTGTTTTCTTGACTGGAGAACTATTCTCAGATTTGGAAATTCCATCATCTTTGGTTTCATCGGGCAGCTCCATGTGTCTCTCTCTGTGTTGTCTGTTCAGCATAACAGTTTCCTGTGTTTCTAGCCTTCTTTGTTTCTCCATGGAAAGCAGTGGAATATTGGAAAGACTGGAAGTTTTGAATCTGCTGGAACTTGGCTCTCCAGAGTTTGACTTCTTTATTTTTTCGTCTTCAGATGTGTTTCTCCTGGAGTCACGGAATGGAAGATTAGTCTCATGAAATGCAGCACGTTGTCGCTCTGGAGACCACCCTTCCGTCTTTTCAGAAGTTTTCTGCTTCGCGTCTTTCCTGGTGACTCCTGTTTTACCATTTCCACCTTTCAATTGCTCAACAGTCCTCTTATCGCCACCAGTTGTTCTATCTTGATATTCTTGTAACCTGCCTACCGTTTCTACGTTTCCTTGCTTACTGAGATGCTTTTGGGGACTGGCAGACCTTCCTTGATTTCCACTGGAATACTCTTTTTTGTTACTACTGTTCATCCCTATTTCTGTGGGTTTACTCTCACTCACTCTAGAACTGTCAGGTTTATGTGAGAGATTGCCGTATGTTTTTTCAGGATCCCCTTTTCTGGGGCTGTGGAATCCTGTGTGAGGGTGTCCCTCAGCAGCCACCAACTTTTCTGGACTTGCAGATCTGTCTCTTCTGGTCCCTAATTCCAAACTACCTTTTGTGATTTCAAACCCAGGGCTGGAGGGACATTCCCATCTGTTCTTTGTTCCCTGGGGAGAAGACAGAGGCTTCATCTCAAACTGGTTTTCAGTTAAAGTGCTTATCTTTTCAGGCACAGTGTTCTTTGCTTGTTCCAGTTTCTCAGACAGCTGAACTCTCCTTAAAGCTTCTCCTGGTACTGGTAAATAACACACTTCAGATGGGGAAGCAGAATGTGAAGATGAAGATAATGGTGACTGTTCTTCATATATTACATTTGACGAAGATGGACTATAACTATCCCAATCACCTGGAAGTGAACAGCGAGAGATTTGACTAAATAAAGACAAAAAAAAAAAAATCACTAAATAGTTTAGAAATGTGCATACTACTGAGGTTCCAGGATGTTATATGAAATCTTCAATTTAAAAAAGATTACGTAGTGGCATACTCTCAAAGTCTTATTTAGTCAGTTTTCTATATTGCATTGTTCTACAACCTACAACAACTGTAAAGATGCGATTTGGGAAAAAACTTGTGCTTAGAATGCTGGCACGATCTCTGCGGGACCGACACAGTCTTGTATCAGCACAACTTTAGAGCCTACATAGCAAAATTGCAAAATAGAAAGTCCCTGACCTACATTGTTTAATATAAAAAACCCAAATGAACTGAAATTGTTATGCTAAAAGAAAACTGAAAACAGTGAAAAGTTGAGGTTATTCATAGCTTTGCACTTTAATAATAGGAAGAGATGAAACACAAGACATGCAGATTTACCAAGTCTTTAAGGAAAAACCAAGAAAAGCACTGAAAGCCCTTAATGTTGCTCAGGTTTCACGTAGGGACACAGACTGGAAGGAGCCAAACCTGAAGGAGGAAGAGAAAAAGCCCAGAACTACATACCAAAATCACAGAGTACAGCAAGCAAGATTTCAATCAGAAATGTATGATTAACAGCAAGACAAGAGGCGACAAAACCCTTCCCTTCTCCACAGTTGCTGATCTAATCTCAGTTGCTTAACCCAGTCTCAGGCCTCACATTTGATGGAGGGCTGCGCCAGATGGTCTCCAGAGGTTCCTTCAGACTCTTCTATGATTCTGTGTTTCTACCTCAGACTCAGGAGATTTCCATGAACAAGAGGGCCAGGAGTGATTCCAGAGAATTACTGCGCTGCCCTCGTGGTGCAGGATAAACACCATTTATCACTGCTGAATTATATCAAGCTTAAATAGCTGTTAGTAAGGAGAGAGCTGGAGATGCCCTCACACTGCCTCCCTCTTTTCTAGCTTGTAGATGTTGATTTTAAAAGAGGACCTCAGCAGAAGCTCATCAGAACACAAGGAGGACTATATTTAACTTTCACCCTTAATGAGTAGGTAATTCAGTGTGAGAGACAAACCCAGCCAGCCAGGAATCTAGCAAGATGGCACAGAACAGACCTCGCAGTTCACAGATGGCCTGTTTCCGTGCCATGCGCTAATTCACTGATTTTACTGTGCTGTGCAGGCTGGAACAGTAAGATGCTAAGAGCCATCTTCTAGCTCTCTGGAGGAAAGAAATGGAGAAAGTTCTGAGCAGATTTTGTCCCTTGAGTGGATGCCAGTTGCTGCCTGTAAATGACTGAACACAACAAACTATTTGGTAGTTCAAACTGTGCGCTTTAAAATTTTCAAAGGATAAACTCATGGTTGGTCGCTATTATTGAAAAGCTCTTCAGCAGAAAAAGTGACCTTACAATTTAAGAAGTTTACCATCAGAATCTTGGTGTCAGCATCAAGGGTTAAAAGATTAAAACATGTACCGGGAGAGAAAGTGTTCTTTGCTTTAAAATACTGCCACAGCCACAAGTCTTTTTGATTTGCAGTTTTGGAGCATTTCCTAAGTCAGACTCAAAACCATCAGTTCTGTGCTCTGTAGCTGAACTCAGAGCTCCTGCAAGCATTTGGTTTTCTGTCCTTCCTTTTTTTTTTTTCCTACAAAGTTGTGCTTTCCTGTTGTAGATGCAGAAGTCATAACTTTAAACAGAATCCATTTTTACAGCAAAGCTGTCTCTCCCCCTGCTTTCTGAAGTTTGGGTTTTGAAAAACAAAGCATTCTGTAATTTAGAAGGCTAAAAACAGTGAAGTAAATCTGTACAGAAATAATATTCTTAACAGTATAGGCATTTTGAACTGAGTACTGTATCATAGAGAATTTTAATTTAAATTAAAAGGCAATCAGTGTTAATTATCACATTTGTATAGGAAAACTTGATTAGCTTGGACAGAGCTGAGAAACTTATTACAATTACAAATATGCAATAATTTCATACTGTGTAATATTCCTAGGTACTTGTCATGTGTTAATTTTACCAAAAATATTCCTTATATTTTAAGACAAATATGAACACCTGCACAGCTGTCAAAAAGGGAACTGCTAACTATTTCAGTGAACAAGCACCAAAGTCTCCTTATGAGACTGTACTTCATTGCCTTGGACCCTCAAAACGAAACAGCGCTTGAGATGACATACTGTGATCTGGTATCAAGCCAGTCCCTGGTCTCAGCAGCAGCAAAACTTTATTCCCTCCAGCCTGAATCAGCTCAATGGCTCGTGTGTGAGTGATTCCTTGGGTGGGTTCTCCATTAATTTCAACAATTTGGTCACCAACCTGATGAGAAAATAGCAACCAGGTTAGTCTTTATGAATCTCTGACACCGTAAACTAATTTTTAATTTAGAAAGAAAAAAACAGAGGCAGATGCTTCTATTTTTCCTCTCATGCTAAAATCCACTCAGCAATAGCAACACCCTTCCATGGCTGCTGATTAACATGACGCGACGCAACACTCTGGCGGTTCAGAGCTCTTCATGCAGGTCTTCTGCTCAGCCAGCTCAATAAAAGATCTCAGGTTCCTTAAACACATCTTCCATTTATTTACAAGTGATGAGACAGATACAGCCATGTGCTTGAATGTATTTTCATTCTGGATCATTGTATGGAGGGAGCTTATGGATGAACCACATCAAACCTGGCACCACGCGCCTGTTTAATGTCACACTAACTAGGTAAGTAACACAGCAACTTCTCTACACTTAATGCAGAGCTGAACGCTACCATGGCAGAACAGCTTTTATGTAAGGGAAGGATTTTTTATTCCAGGTAGGAGAGATCACCACTATGCAGTTATCAGTACTACGGTCTCTGAGGCCAATTAGCAACTTACAGAGGTATTGGGCAGGTAATTACAGTTCACACTACCTTTGCAGGCTGCTGGAAAGGGGTTGGAATAACACCCCCACAAAAAGGGTCATGAAACCTATTTCGCAATACATGGATCAGCCAATGGATGTCACTAGTGCATAAAATTAGCAGTTTTAAGAGACTGTCTGGGCTTTGCTAAATAACCTGTCTCTGCCAAAGGAGGTCACTGGCTGGTTACTCATCCAACAGGACAGGACGCTCCACACTGTGCGACGTGCCTCCTGTCATGCTCAGTTGCCATTAAGTGGGTGAGAAATTCCTCTTCACTGTTTTAAAGTACAGCCAGAAAATGACACCATTTTCCAGCTGAG